GGCGGTTAAGTATGTCACTACAAACGATGCAGGTTGTACTTCAAGCCCCCAACTGCTACAAGCAGTGGCTAAAACAGGCCAGAAAGTCACCTGACAGCCCTCTTCCCGCAGGGTAACTACCCTTGCAGTCAAAGTTACAAAGCAGCTGCAATTTCCAGTTTCTTCTGATTCCATCAGGCTGTTCCATCACAATGTAATAGGGTGGACTCCTGGCTGCTAAAGCCACTTTTCATCTTACTAGCATATTTGCACCTGTGTCATATTTCCTGTGGAATGAAGAAACTAGTTTTTCTCTGTATCTTAATGCATGAGCAAGCCCTCGCTGCAGCAAAGGCCCTTTGTGGTGTGAGCAGAATATTGGCAACGTCCAAGTTTCTTGCGGAAACCACCGGATGTGTCTCCATCAACGTTAAAGCTCGAGCTCGCTCAAGCTCATCGTTCGCCCGTATTCCCGTGCCCACTGATGAGCACACCACACTCTACAGCTATTTACAGAGCTATTCCCAGGGGCTGCACTTCCACCGGCAGCTCATCCGCACAGCATCTGACAGTCATTTTTTTCTGAATGCTGCAGTCACAAATCCCTCAGTAGTTACCAACACATCATTTTTACCTACTTGAAGAAATCTTTGATACAGAAAACCAAAAATTCTCTCTTAACATTTTGTACTCTTTGTTTCATATTCTCCATTTATTACGAACCCAGAGGAACACCCTCCAGGACATAAAGCAAACCTGCACCCACTTACTGATTAAACGGCCACAGATATCCTACTGCCCCTTTCCAAGGGGTAACGTCAGTCCCTGAACCCCATCCCAATCTTTGAATACTAGTTTCAACAAAGAACTTGAACATATGAAATTATGTTTTGCAAAACTTGTAAGTATAGATGAATACAAACATTCAAAATACAAAAAACCACGTATTTTTTGCCAGTGAATTTCAAAAGTAATATTCCATGAACAAAATTACTTTGATGCATTGGAACCATGGGGTCAACACATCCTGACAGTCACTAAATCTTGGTGCTCAGTTCATATCAAGTGAAATAAGACCTAGCTCTGCTGAGAGCCATGATCCTGCCAGACGAGGCCCCATTTAGTCAAGGAGGCAACTATCACCTTCACATATGTAACTCGGGTGACACTATTTCCACAAAAATCTCTCCATATTCCGTGAAGAACATACTCTCCCTAAGAGTTATGAAGCAAGGACTCCCTGCAGGACCTAAATCCAAAATACTGAAACAGAGCTAAACTGACCGTCAATGCAACAAAGCCACCTCACTGGTTCTGCTTAAGAGAGGGAGTATCTGATGAATGGTCTATTGGACAAAAATAAAATTTAACAGTGCAAAACGTAGTAGTTTAATTATTTTGGCCTTTTTTTTAATTAAACTTAAGTAAAATGACTATAATATTTATATTTCAAATATGTTTGTTGCTTTACTATCCTACTAGGAATTGTTGGGGCTGCAGTACTTGCTCGTCATCTTGGATAAGGTAAACATCAAAGGCAAATCAACCTCACCAACACACTTCATGCTCTGGGGACAAGTGCCAACGACGAGGCCACCGCAGGACTAGGACGTACAGCTTGGGAAAAAAACAGAAATAAATAACTGAAGGGTCAAGCAGGGCAATTTTCTTTTTCAGCTATGAGGGAGCTATTATAGCTTTATTCCATTAGGCAGCATGGCAAATACATGCAAGATTTGTTCCATGATGCAATTACGCTCACGAGCTTTCACTGAACTGCTGGAGCCTGAGAGGGAGCAGTACTGAAGAGCCATATGGGCCAAAAGAAGGGCTACAGGGAACAACTCGTAGCTAGTTCAGGGGTGGTTCGGGTTAGGAGGAACTGCTACATGGAAAGAGCGGTGAAACACTGGACCAGGCTGCGCAGGGAAGTGTGGAGTCACCCTCCCTGGCCGTGCTCAGAAACGTGCAGCGTTTAGGGGCATGGTTAGCAGGATGGTGTCAAAGGGTTTATGGATGGACTCAATGACCTTGAAGGTCCTTTCCAACCATCATGATTCCATGACATGGACAAGCACTCCCAGGACTGTAACGTGCTGTGGAAATTGCTCTGCCAGGGCATCCCTTCCTGCACTGAACAGTGAGCATCGGACACACAGCGCGCGGCGGCGGTCAGGAACAACGAGCAGCTCCGGCCTTTCTCAGGAACACTCTGGGGAGTTCAAGGGGAAAATAATCACGGGGACATGTCCTCTCTACCAGATAAGCAAGCTAAATCTCTGCTGGGAGAAAACTGAAGAGCATATGCAGGCTGAAAGCTATGAAATACCATCTGTCAAGGGGGCCTGAAAAAGTCCAAAGGAAAACATGGCTGAAGAACAGAAGAGATTTAGAAGAAACCCTACAAAAAGATGAGAATGTGTCCAAATCAGGACAAAAAAATGATTAAACATAAAATGCCAGAAAATTTCTTTCAAAATGTTTGATAAAAAGCACAAAAACTAATAATAAAACTTTCGTCAGGCACCTCCGGAGCAGGAAGCCTGCCAGAGTCTGCGGAAAAGGACTAAAAGGGATGCTCAGAGAAAGGAAGGTCACAGCAGGAAAATTCCATTTCTGTTTCTGTGTTCTGAGTTTGGGAAGGCTACCATGCTGAAAGCCTTGTCCTGGAGAATGAGCAGGGGAATCAATGAAAGGTGGAAAGAATGAAACTTGAATGTGACTGCAGACCACTGAGCTGGGCATCTGCACCAGATCAATCAAGAGAATCACTTCCAGACATCAGAACAAGTGGTTATGTGGACAAATATGACACAATGGGAAAATCCGACCAGATTTCTTCTAAGGGAAGTGATTGCTCAAATGTCTATTGACATTTCCTAAAAAGTCAAGAGACCAAAACAATAAAAGGCACTCTGATTTCCAAAAGTGGAGTGAAAAGATCCTTCACTTGAAGCTCTGAAACTAAGCACCCATGCGAGGAGTGAAGGTCCCCACATGGATAAACCAGCATGAGTTAGTGATGGGAGAGCTCTCCCTTTCCACTCGGTACGTGCAGGAGCAGCCAGCAGAGATGTGCTCCGCGCGGTGGGACACGCGCTGCTGGGCTTGTGAAGGACCCCGGAAAAGGATGCCAACAGAGCAGACGTTGACAGACACCAGCTTCTTCTGACCTCGCCAAGTCATGGCTGCAAACGGGCCCGAGGGCTTTTGCTGTCCCGCAGGACTCCTGACATCCTCCACAGCAATTCTGGGTTTGTTCCTACCAAGGCGGCCTGTTTTCCCACATCGCTGCATCCAGATTCAACTACATCACCGACTGGCGAGATGGAAAGCTCGGAGCAGAGACGGACAATTCTGAGAAACTCGGACACGTCAACACAGAATAACTCAACCCCGAAGCACAGTCCCATCCAAAGCCAACGGGAGCTAACAGGAAGTTCTCCCCTCATTTTAATCACGAAATGCCCAAAAACACCCGGGACAACGAGAGGGCCTCCCCGCCAGCTGCGCACACCTACTGAGAAGGGCCGTTTGGCAGAGCTGCAAGGAGCTGAGCTCCCTGCACCGCCGTCCCGGACGCCACACGCTGACACACCACCCGGCTACAGAGCGGGAAGGCCAATCCACGCCTGTAAAAACGTGCGACGTTACCTCCTTTTGCTCGGCAAGCCAAAGGCAGCCCTGCGACCCAGCAGGTAGCACTGTTCAAACGTGAAGTATGGCAGCTTCTCAAAAAGCCTCTAAAACTTCTAACAGAAATTTTTCTATTTTAGTCACATAAATTAACACATTAATACAATATTTGAAATTATTTGAAATATTGTCCAAAGATTTGAAATATCCCTGAATGCTCAAAAGCTCATGGCAACAGATCTGAATAATATTTAATCAAATCGTGTGAAACAGAAAATAAGTCATTACATAAAATATTGTAAGAAACTGTCAACTAAATATACATTGTCAATATAAGCAATTATTAAAAATAACAGCCAGACTACTAGTAATTTTCTGAAGAGAAAGTATCGCATACAGAAAATAGGAACATCCCACATCATTGTCATTTGAAAAATAACATATGATACAGCAAGACAGAGTTATTTTAAATGTTTGGTATGCTTGTCAGAAAAAAAAAAAAACAGGAAAAATTTCAAGACATTTTATGAACAATGAATTACTAACTTTCTATCAGGGAAGCACCTGCCTATACAGCGATATTTTGGCCATGTCATGTTTTAGATAAAATTATCTAAAAAGACAAATTTAGAAGTCCAAAAGCTCTTATTTTTTAATGTAACATGTGCTAAATAGGTACACTCTGGAGATCCATGCTCTGGTTAGAAAGCCGCGTTTCAGCAAACTATTGTTAGATCTATTTACCTTGGTCCTTTTGTCAGTAGCTTTAGAAGCCTTGCCTTTCAGCTACTGTTGATATACAGAGCAAACAGAGCGCTACGGTACATACAAAACGCATTTAATACATGTTCATGCCAAAATACTGCACAGTTTCCGTTAAGAAAAATGCACATATAGATGTATATATGCAGAGAGCAGATGGTAGAATAGGATATTAGTTTTAATAACTGCCCTGTGAACAACTTTGAAATTGCACCTAGTATGGTAATAGCACTGAGTTAGCAGAAGTTAGCATATAAAAATCACTTGTATTATTAAAATAAAATCATTTGCTTTTCTTCACGTGTTTTTGCTTACAGTAGAACTACTGGACAGAGTACCAACATAATCAGGTTATCTGATTTATTTATGCTACAGCAAACAAATTGTAGGCCAAGAAGGAAAGCTTTAAGTGAATATCTGAAAGAGCTGCAGCACCTTTTTTCAGCTAGATTGCACTGCCCTGTGCATTTTGGGTTTCATCTGCCAAGAAAACTGCTCAATGCCATAAAAGGGGCCCAAGAAAGCACAGATATCCCGTTTTGTCCCACTTGATACAAAAATGTCAACTTCCTTGCACCTCTACTTTATTCCAGAATGCAGCTGTGCTTTTTATCTATCATTTTTCAGAGCACTTGCACAAACAAAAACTTCCATTTCCAATTCATCTCAGTATCTAACAAAACCTTCTGCCATAGCGCAGAACTGTCAACAAACATAACCTTGAAAAACGCTTCCCTTGGTTAGAGAAATGAAAGAATTTCCTCACTTTAAAAATCATACAGTGGGAAAAAATCAGACAATTACTTTATCAAATATAATGCTATTGAGAACAAAAGCTACTCTCCTCCAGTTGACATCTTCCAAACTTTTGCTAAACCTGAAAGGACAGAAGTTACCTGACAAACCCCATCTGCTGTTCAGCAACCATCAAAACAAAAGCACTTGGACACTTGGTAAATACAGGATCACAGCAGGCAAAAAAACAAAAACAGAAACAAAAACCAGGTGATTTCCATTAGCGACAACGTCCAACAAGCCTGCCCCAGGCTGCTGCCACTGAAGCAGATTAAGCACTTACCACCTCAAACCACACTAGAATCAGGCCAGAAAGACACAAACACTGTGTAGGACCCCAGCTCCCCTGTGGAAACTGCAACCTCAAACCCAGCACCCATCTCCCGTGGACTCTGACAAGCACCTTCTGTGCACAAAAACCAGGCAGCGCGTTTCTGTGTTCAGAACTGTGTGAATTATGTCACCAGAATCTGTGATGAGGAACAGGAAACGATGTTGATATTCTATAGCACAGCAGGAACTGCTTGAAGCTGCTTGGGCTTGCCATGGTACTAAGAACACGAGGACGAGGGATTACGCCCGTGCCGGGCCGGTCGCCTCCATGAGCAGAGCGGCTCCGCGCCGCCGGGAAGCGCCGCGCTCCGGGGGCTGCCCAGGCAGCGCAGCCGGAGTCCTGCCACGACACGGAGGGCGGCTGCCCCCTACACGCACCTACGGGCCTTGGGAGCCGGCCAGAACCATCACAGTTCATTTCTGCTTTTCTAAAAAGTAAACGTAATTCAAAACAGGGAAAATGCTAAGCTCGTACAAAAAAGGCGCGTGTTCCACTGATACTGAGAATACTGCATGGCAAGTAACTTTAAAAAAGTTTTGCCTTTAGGCAGATGCCCACAGAAAGTTGTGAATACGTCCTTGTATCAAAGGCAAAGCGCCTACACATGGCATTTTGATAAACACATGCTTAGGTGCCCTTTTGAAAACGAGCTGAGTAAAACACCTCTGAGCATCAGCAAGCTCTCACACACAGTCTAGTGTCACCATAATAAATCTCCCTTATAACGTGGACACACACCCCCCACAATTCCAAGTGCAGGTCAACTCAGAAATCCTTCAGAAATACTATTTTTTTCTGTAAATAGTACCAAGAAATAATATCAAACTGGATATTTCTTCAATATTCTGACAACGCAAACATCTAAACTGTACTGTGAAAAAAATACACTATCGACATCTGTGCAGATCATGGTGAGATAGTTCTACTAAGGTCACAATTAATACATTTTAAACAAATTAACTGCTTCTGGAAGAGAAAAATACTGTTACATCACCACTAACCAGAGATACCTCATATTTTGTTTGTATGTCCTTTTATCAAATGTTACATTATAGATTTTGGATGTTGTTACAACCAGTTGCTTACCAATATCCACCTCCCTTCTTATTTTATATTTATCCCTTCTCACTAAAATTTCTTTAAACACTTGAAAAAGTAACTCTTAACAAATCTGACACAAAGGCACTGCTATCAATAAGAATACTTTGCACTTCTGGAGAAGGGAGTTATCAAAATATTCCATCACTTACTTTGGTAGAGTTTTCAAGTGATTCTCTCTTAGCTCCAAAATTCTCAACTTGACAAGTCTAGAAATAGTGATATTAAAAAATATATATAATTAGCTCCATCAAAGAATTCATTCAAGAATTTATAGGAAACATTTTAAACTACTTATTTCAACGGACAGAAATACAAAAGAGAGCCTACTTAATGTTTAATAATGAAATGCCCAGATATTGTTGCTTTGACTATAATACGAAATTGATTCAGAACCATATAGATTCACGTTTGCATTATGCTGTTTTTATTTCCTTCTCTGGACTCCTCTGAAGAACAATTACGTGAATCAGTTGTCCAAAATAAGTTATTTTTTGGTCCACTCAAACAAGGCAAACACCATAAGTTAATTTATCTCAAATGTTTCCAGATCTATTGCAGGGTAAAAAGCAACCGTTGCACAGCTCACCACGTCCTCTGGCGCTGTTACAGTGTGGACCTCTGCAGCTCCACAGGGGCAGAGATACCTTTGCTCCAAGGATCTCCATCCAATTTAATGTATTTTAAGCAGAAGCCGAACATATGCTTAAATGCTTGAACTAGTAGGAACCAGAACCTGCGTACAGCAGTACTCACATTTCAGAACCATTGTGCAAACACTACCTGGCAGCATGACTTAAACCACAACTGAATTTTGAGTAGTTGCATGAAGGAGGGTGGAAACGCTGCTCATTCCCTTCCCAGTGGAATGGAGGGAGAAGGAAACTGGTGTTTCTGCTGAACTCACACACATGGCTCCTACCGCTCTTTTAAATGATCAAAGCAAATTGTGCCAATTCTGCAGTGGAGGGCTCCTTCTGGTTTATGCTTACCTATCTTTTTGGCTCAGTTTCTACTGCATTTATTTTTAATCTCATCTACATCTGTCTGCTCTACTGTCTTTTGCAAATCTCTCCTGTTCTTGCTTCCTTATTTTTGCTTTGGTTACTCAACCATGCTAAGTCTTTTCTGTCCTCCTGTCGGACTCACAGTGCGTTTTGTTTCAGTTCATTTTTCAATAGATATAGACCATATTGTTATTTTCTGTCCTTCCCACAATGTAATAGCACATTTGATCAAGGACAGGACTCTTCTTCATTTTCTATTTCTTCCCATACCTTCTTCCTAAACCACCAAATTGCATCACTTCATCATAAAATTCTTGCTGACATAAAATTCTCCCTAACAACAATCATTCATCAAAATAGGGCTGAGGAGGCAAAACCTGTATCTTCCTGTATTTTCTTTTAAATAAATACAGCTTTTAAACAGTCCTTTAAAACTAAACTGGGTTTACTTGAAATGGCAAGGTTTTTTTAGACTAATTCTTACCTTCCAAAGTTAGCTGGAAGAAACTCCAGAAAGGCATCGTTTAGATAGAGCTGGGTCAAGTTTACAAGTTGTGTGAAGCCATCTGGTAGCCTAAAAAATAGTTAAAAGCTTAATCCTGGTGCTCAAGTTGCTATGGAAATAATAACAATGTATGTTTATAAAAAGAAAGATGACATACACACACACTCTCTCTCTTTCTCACCTTGTTTTTCTACCCAGTTACTCAGGAATTTACTTACAGGTGATTTTTTTGCCTGTTTTCTTCTTTTGCCATCACCTGATGAAGTTCAAACTCCTGGTATATTTAAGCTACATCAGCCTTTTCCCCGCTCCAAGTTTAGGAGGCTTCCATTTTATTGGTTTTCTTTTGGTTTTGTTGGTTTTTTTCTAATCCTTCCAATGCCTTCATTACAACACAGATTTTCTGTGGCTATTGTTTCAAGATTCGGGCAGGAAAAATGATTGTCAAGATCCTGACCAGGATAAATGAGGACACAGCATGGCCCATTTCCCCTGCACATGAAGTGTCCACCCTCTGTGTTTAAAAGCCTGCAGTATATAGACTGCTTTGCCAAAGTTTCCTCTGCTGTGTGGAGAGACACTACATCTGTTGCGTAGTAAGGGACCTTTTTATAGCAACATCAACCTAGAAAAATGTCATCCTTACTTCTGGATTTGAAACAACCAGAAATTAATCTGAATTAACCTTGCAAATGAACTTGATATTGTGCCCTTACATGTTAGTTTACTTTGCATAAATTTTATACAAGCACAAGCTATCAATACTCACTTAGAGACTGGATTGACACTGGCTTCAACAACTGTTAAACACTTACAACATTTAATATTTTCTGGAAAATCTTGAATTCCTGAAAATATATTGAAAGAAGCATTACACAAACATGAAAAAAAAGAACAGCGTGTTTTCTTCATAATTAGTTCATTTGATATTTTTTACTGCTAATGCAGGATGCAACTATAAATTCTACTCAGAATTCAGCAATAAAATTTTAAAATATGTATTTGCAATATTACAGTCTACAGATAATACTTAAGCATCAAATAAATATATCACAACAGATAATATATCTTGAAATAAAAAATCCTGCTTTAATGATATATATGATCATCTGATACAGTTATAGCATAGAGTTACAGACTTCACTTGCACTAACTAGCAGTTGTGCCTCTTCTGATCTGCCCACCTATCCGTTCTTAGTCTCCCTTTCTTCTCTGGAGTCCATACGTATAATCCAGAAAGTCTCTAGGTTTACACTGGTAACAACCCTGCCCAGAGTGCCCAGGTTGCAGTTTCAAAAGGCAGGCACTTGAGCACAGACATGCAAGCACTGCTGGGCACGTGGTTACGTAACTGTAACCCTGATGACACATCAGGTTAGTCACTAGCAATGTCAATGCGGGTAGCTGCTCACCTGCAGCTCTATGTGCTGATGAACATGAATGCATCCGAGAGCCCCCTGAGCCATTCCAGCAAGCGGAGCGGTTCCTCCCAGCGCCCTGGGAACCGCACACACACGCGCACACGGGAGGGACCTACCCAGCCTGCTCGCAAGGGCCACACAGCAAAGCATTGCATTGAGCCAAAAAATACAGACTTTTGCAGAGCAGAAGTTACTGCAGTTTATTGCAGCCATTGCAATTCTTTAGAACATGTATACTTGTGATCTCTTACCATTTTTACTGATATCGAGTTCTCTGAGATTAACTAAGCTAGCAATAGTGGTTGGCAGACTCGAAAGGTCATTGTCAGGTATACTCAGCTTGCGTAAAGCTTGACAGTTGAACAGTTGCTGTAATACAAAAAAAATACTTCACAGCATTTCTGGAAAAAAGTTAGATTCATTATTTATACACAAAGGCAATCAATAACACAAAATTATCTTCACTACACAAAAATCCAACAATCAAAAAGAAAAAAATTAATGAGACTATTTGAGAAAGATTTTCTAAAAGGTTGAACAGTATTTTAAACAGGAATAACACAAACTACAAGAATAACTAGCACAGGTGATTGGTTGTTGAACAGTTCAGAAACTGGAATTTTCTGTTAAAAGTTGCATACATAATGTACCTAGCATTTTGTAGGAACATGCTATTTCATGAAATGTCCCATATAAAAAAAGAACTTTTAGCGGTTTGTGGTAAGGTAAAATATTTGTTTGCATAAATTAATCTAATTGTTCATTAGATTTTAGGATTTCCTGATTCTGTGCAGATAAAATTTGCTACCATCAAGAAACAAAGTATTATGACATTATTGAAATAAGACATCCTCTACATCCTACCAAAATTCTGGAGTTTTGATTCCAGTGTTTTATTCTAATTCGCATTTTCAAGAATTTCCAATTCAGTTTCTAATTCAAACGCAACCCACGCACGGGCCCCAAACAGCTCGGTGGGCCCCAGGGAAGAACCATTTCCCCTTGCAGGCCCCCAAAAGATGCTCCCAAGCATTAGTGCTCTGTTTAGGGCAGACTTTGTTGCTCATGTTCATTCAGACTTCTCTAGTAGAACAAAGTCTCTATACTCCCTGGCAGGATATTGAATGATTTTTTATCATTCGATCGCCTGCTGAAGGAAATAAAGAAATCCGCTAAGTATCTACAAAAATTAATACACAAATGGTGTACAAATGCCAAGTCTGCACTACACTTTCTCCCGCAGCAGGCGACCACCTCAGAAATGTGACAGAGAACAACTTCCAGGGGGGTCTGCAGTTCCCACTCGGGAACAGGAACACGCAGAGGCCCCGCACACCCTGCAAGGCCAAACTCCTTCGCTCAAGGACAACGATGATTAAGAGAAAACTCAAGAGAGGCGGCAGAACCGGCGAAGACAGACAGACAATCGCAGAGGCCCCGCACACCCTGCAAGGCCAAACTCCCCCGCTCAAGGACAACGATAACTTAGAGAAAACTCTCAAGAGGGGCTGCAGAACCGGCGAAGACAGACAGACAA